CGCAGTAACAACTACACACCTATGACATCTACTATTGATTCAGTCCATCCTCAAAAGGTCACCAGTAGCACAGTAGTAAATGTGTCAAAACCGACCCGTGTCGACATGCCACAAATTCTTGGTAGTAAACAGTGTTCTCATCATTTGTGACGGCAGTCGAGATAAACCTTTCACATGAGGCGTTCTATTCAAGCCATACCTAAACAAGCAATAGACCAATTTATTAGAAAAGAAAAGGAGGGGGTAAGGGAAAACACAGTATAACAATTAAGAAGCATCTGCATGAAAACTTGCCTGATAGCCGTTTCAGATGGTTCTCTCTCACATTCTCAATGGAGACAGTCAGCGCAGTGGAATTTGGGTTTACGATAAGAGCCTATGGTCAACTGGAGAACTGCCGCAATGTTTTGAAGTAACCTGGCTGCAATGACCTTGGCATTAGGATTGTGAGCAAATCAGAGTTTTACAGACTACTTAGTCATGGGAAAACAAACACCCACCTTCAGACCAGAACTAGACTTGATCCTCAACCAGACAACCTACTCTCAGTGATAGGAATGAACCATTTAGGCAATTTACAAAGAAAAAAAAAAAAAACTGATGTTGGATTCAATCTACAGACTTGACAACATTCCATGCTTGGTATCACTCAGGGGAGGGTCTTCAAAACAGTTGTGGTCGTTCTCAAGGACTGCCAAGAGCCATTGCCTGCAAATGAAACCAACTTGAGTTACTGATATGAAGCCATACATCCGAGTCACTAATAGCATTCCATTAATTTCACAGGACAGATTGTTCTAATTTTAAGCCTCACCTCTGTTCAGGATTGCCCTTATCTACAGCCAGATCAAGAGCATGACCATCATTCCCAACACAACATGGGGACAAACTTGGCACTTGTTCAAAAAGAAATAGATAGCTTCCAATGTCAACTAGGATGGGGCGGCATATCGTTGTCACCTGCAAATCAAAAGGAAGCCATGATCCTTCTGCACGTCACAACATCTTCAAAAGAACTATGCGGTGATGAAATACTTACAGGTCACAGTCAGTCACAGAAGGCAGTCCAGGAGAGGAAGCAGTTGGATGGCCACCTCCTTATCCCGCAACAGTACTGAAGGCAACTGAAAGAGAAGCTGTGGTTGCCCAAACATCCAAAGCCCAGGGACAGAGTGACTCTTACTCGGCACTTCCAACATCAAGGTTGTGCAGCAAGCAGCACCCACAACGCCAAAGCGTACTGGAATGAATTCAAAACCCAGTGAGAAATACGGCAAATATATCACAGTAAGAGTCCTGATTTAACCAAGAAGACATTCGTACCTGGTTGCAATTCCCAGGGCAGCCCAAAAAGAAACCTGCGGCTCAACATGCCCTGGAGTCTAACAGACAAAGATACAGAACGGTCAATGGCACAGAACATGACACTCGAACATAAACAGATAAATTGGGAAACAGAAGAAGATACAACAAGAAACAATACGTACATGACACTTCCTGCACTCATTGAAACCAGAGACCGGAGCCAAGGGCGTCACACCAAATGCTTAAAGATGACAAACCACTAAATGCCAAGCTCTTGCTGCTACACTCTGCAGGTAGGGGCAACACCCAGGGCGCCCCCAAAAGGCCTGAAATCACACAAATATTACGGGATGTTACATTATTTCATCAGGATACAGAGCAACTTAAGACTCATAACACAAAGGATTCATACCAGAGAGTCCCTCCAGCCGAACAGCCTTTTCATACCTACAAGGAAACAAAACATCAGTAAACTGCAGCAGATAAATTACGGCACGAGAAACCTTCTCAACAGCGCAAGAAGCAACACCACTATACTTACAGAGTGCTTCTTCCTCCTGTTTATCAAGTTGAACCATCCAATGCATTATTCCCTGGAAAAAACAAAACCTCATCAGTACACTACAGCCGATAAATTACCACACGGGAAACTTTCTCAACACCATACTTACTGAGCGCTTCATCCTTCTGTTTATCAAGTTGTCCTTGATAGCCTCATGCTTGGGCCATACAGAGAGCCACGAGCCACGAGCCCTAAAACAAAAAAAACAAAATGTAACATCTGGAAACATTCCCACACATACCCATTCATATGCCAGAGGAAGGATTCCTACCAGGGCGGCTCTCTGATGGCCCTTGTCCCTCTTCAGAAAGATTCCCTGAAAATAAATAAAAATAAAAAAAAATCAGTATGCTACAGTCAATAAATTACGACACGGGAAACTTTCTCAGCACCATTCTCTACTTACTGAGCGCTTCCTCGTTCTGTTCATCAAATTGTCCTACTCTATACCTTGGGCCCTAGAGAGCCTCCACCAGCCCTAAAACAAAAGACAAATTAATACATATAGACACATTTCCACACATACTCATTGATAGATCAGAGGAAGGATTCTCCTACCAGGAGGCTCTCTGCTGGGCCATCCAAGACTTCATGACATTCTCTATTGGATGTTGCTAACCAGAGGAGGGCCCCCAAACGCCCTGAAGTCAGACAGAATGTATCAGTTCAGAGCACTGCACAGGTATTTTAACACCTCGATCCTAAAAATCATGAGGGATACTTGCGACAGGGCCCTCCAGGGATGCCTGTCCCTCCCCGAGTTCCCCAATACAGCCTCGGGGAGAGGCTTTCCATCAACTCTGGCACCAGATTTACAGTACACATGTCTGCAACGCCAGGAAAACAGTCTCATCAGATAGATAGCAAAGGTAACAGGAAAATAGAGGCGGCCTTCACCTCCTCTTAACAGAAGCAGCAGCAGCCGCAGAGGTTAGGCCGCATAGCAGTGCTTCTCTCGAAGGTCAGGTTGCCCATACGCTGGCCTACGATCCGTGCGTACAATTACCCGGGGGCAATGCGAAAGCGTTCTACACGAGGAAAGGGTTTTATGTAGGGCGATTGAACGGCCTTGATTGGAACAAATAAACCTCTCTCAAAAAGCATGGCTCCGTGTTCGAAAACCACGTTGCCTGCGTCAACTACACAGCACACGTTAGCTCAGACCCGACAAAAACGAAAGCCAAACGAAGAACACTGGATCGGTACTCACTTGCGGATCATTCTGCAAGCCTTTAGATGCGCACAAGTCTTCCACTGATTGATTGCGAATCAAGACGAAGTTCACGATCATCACGACGATAAATAAGCTTGCCACTTCTTCTTCTTCCTTCTTGACGCCTTGACTTGATGGCTTGCCAAGCCAAACGTCACATACGGCTAGCGACTCGACTGCAGAGGCTCGGGGCAGACCTGGGCCCGACGCTAGTGACCGCGCAATTTCTCATACCGCGCCCGACAGACGAGCTCGGTGCTCGGCGGCCTCGCCGAACCCCGAGCGACAGCTCGGCTCCGCCCCTCGGCTCGGCCGGCCGGAAACGGAGCCGAGCGCGGCAAGAAAAGTTATTTGAATAACTCGAAGTTATTGTAATAACTTACTGGAGTTACAGAAACTAAAAGTTATTGCAACAACTTGTTGTTGCAGTAACCCTGAGAGCCATTAGAGTTGAAAAATTGGGAAAAATAAAATTAGGCTGTCGGACAATCGAAACGAGGCTTTTTATTCTATTGAGTTATCTCGTTAATCTTCTTCCAACAACGGGAGTCGGACAATTACGTGTCGGACAATCGAGGCGCGCCCGACTGTCGGACAAATAACTTGTCGGACAAACGGGGCATTCTCGATGAGATGCAGATACATTTGTTTATTATCTATAATCTATTTAATCACATCAGCAATTTTGCAAAAGATACGTACTTCACAAAGTTCTGAGACACTTGACACGATTTGGTGTACGGCCTAGTCCTGAGTTTCCCTTTGAGTGTCTATACGTACTGCCCCCTTTCCTTGGAGAGAAGTCGGGATTAGAAGGTTCACAGGCTCAATCTGATCACCCGAATCACCTTCATCCTGAAATGTTAATAAGTGCCATCAGTAATAGCATTCATAGAAGCGCCTTCCTTAAATCTTGAATGATGATAAATGATCAAAAATTTACCGAGGAGATAGCCAACTCATCTACTGCTCCAATTCCAAATACAGTGTGCCAGCCCACGAGCTTCATGATGCGATCTGTTATATCACAGTCAGGAGTGTAAGTATTCGGCTGCCCACTCTCTTCTTCTCCAGAGGAATAGCCTCCTCCACCAGTCCGAGTTGGTTTTGGCTTTCCATTTGAGAGAGCATGCATCTTGGCGGCAGAACGCATCCTACTCCAAACCTGTAGACAGTGAAGAGAAATGTTAAACATTTTCTGATGGGTAGCATAATGAAACAACAACAGCATGCACATATTGCATGATCCTTTACATCTTTCCACTGCGCCACAGTTTTGATGGATCCGTCTGGTATATCATTTAATTTTCTTGTCAAGTCAGTCCACAGTCTATTATAGACTTGCGAAGCCTGTTCGGCATCAATCCGCCCTTTAGCAAAACCAGGGTGTTCCTCCATAAATTTTAGCATTGCCAATTTTTGCGACTGACTCACACACCGTCTAAGCTCAGTATCTCTTGCTCCAGCTCCGAAGACAGATTCCCAACCCACCACCTTCATGATCCGGTCGGTCATGTTGCAGCCAGTGGTATTATCAGGGGACTGGCCAGTAGGATTTGATATGGGCTTTCCCTTTAAGAGAGCTTGCGTCTTGGCATTAGAGCGCATTCTAGACCATACCTGTAGCGAGACAATACAGAAAACTTTATGGTGAACATTTGCTGTAAAAAGCTTAACAATGTGTAATGAAAGTAGTGTAAGCCTTCACCTCTTTCCATTGTGCCACAGTTTTGATTGATCCGCCTGGCACATTATTTAATGTTTCGGTTCTCTTCATGATAAGCCGTCTTCCCATTAGCGAATTGAGGGTTTTCCTCCATGAATTGGAGCAAACACATTTTTTGGGAATGGATCATGCACCGCTTAGATTGTGTTTCCATGAAGAAAAAGAGGGAAAACATCAAGGAGAAATTCTACAACTTATAATCTTCCCACAAAATGCAAGAAATCCAGCTTCAAAGAGAGAAATGATTTATTTTACGGAAAGCTAATTATAGCTTACCCATCGTAAAGCTGTCTCCACGAGGCAATAACAAGTATGCAACGTAGCTAGCTAGCGAACAAAGCGCAATAAACGATTAAAACTCTTCTCCACTTTCAAAAAAAGCTTCATCCCCAACGCTTTCAACGGTATGATGTGATCTCCCCGTGTTGTTCCACGGCTTTCCAGGGTATTCCACGGGCCGCTATTCCGTTCTATTCAAGTCAACGGTGTAATATGTGCTTCCCCCGTGTTCTCCAACGGCTTTCTACGGGGTACTCCACGTCTACGGGCCGCTATGGCAGTCGATTCAAATTCCCGCCCGTCCCTGTCCCTGTTCCTGTTCACGTCCGGGGAGTTTCAAGTTTCCCTCCCAACGGCCGCTTGTGTTTCCGTTCCCTGTCACCGTCATTCCACGGCCGTCCAGATTCGTTCACGACTCCGTTCCATCTCCAATTCCGCAGCACCCCTCCAGGATTGATCCTTAGCATAGTGTCCCCGTTCACCGCAACGAAAACACACACCGCCTTTACCACTTTCCTGATTTTTCTTGGATGATATTTGAAGTCTGTTGACAGCTTCTGCAGCTTCAGCCAGAGCAGCTTGTTCTTGTTCCACTTTCTGATGTAATCTGGCTTCTTCTTGTACGTCGACCAATGTGAGTAGGCGTTGTAATGCCAACTTGTAACAATCCTTGCGGACATCAGCCCAAGAAACTGCTTTTAACAATTGGTCACGTCTTTCTCTACCCACATTAGAGAAGTTGCGCAGCTGCTCCAGGCGCTAAAGGTGGTGGTTGGGTGATATCAATATCTCCAACGGCGTTGAAGAAAACATCTTGCTCCTCAGGACCGGCCTTTTCCAATAACCTAGCTTTCTTGAGTAGGGAGTTTTCTAATTCTTGTCTCCTGAAAGCCCAAATTTGGAAGGATCTCTTCCATTTAGACCATTTTGGACCCGCTGACAGTGGATCAACTCAAAATTTAAATGGGGCAAAGGCACAACTATTATTACCCTCCTGAGCCATGGCGTGGTCCCGGCGTATCCGACCAAAACCGTCACCTCTTCTTGTTGACGGCTAGAAACTTCGCAATTATGTACTGATCTTTCTGAATTCGATTATCCTCGTCGCCAATGTACAATCTTCAGATTCATTTGGATGGAATTGGATTTGAGGGGATTGAAGTGCAACACAACCGCACATTAGCTCATCTTTACCATGACTGAATTCATTCACAGTTACCTTCCTTACTCACAGGTGTGGTACAGTGGCGCTCTCTAGAGTGAGGATATGACAAACCATATTTAAAGTTCTTTGTTTCTGTTCGATTGTTTCAAATTCAGAAAGTTAACAAATATTTAGAGTGGGTAGGATGTCATGTATTGTTCCACAGTTGGCAACCCTGCCTTCACTGCCTTATTGCGCACACAGTGTTTACCTGGTTCTTGTTACTATTTAAATAAATCACTTTATACTTGACTGTTAAAACATTTACATCTCCTCTCTCCACTCCCTCATCGGCCCTCCGATACTCCAAATGACTAATCTAGCTCTGTCCCTACCGCGGACATGACAATTTTAAATCTTGATATATTATCCACAGTTGGAATGGCATATTTTTGTTGGCTGAGCGATAGCGAAGCCTATTACTCCAGTGATGATCAAAAAGTTTCGTGTTTGTGTGTTTGTCTGTCTGTCTGTCTGTCTGTACGCACGATAACTCGAGAACGGTTTGAGCTAGGAGGCTCATATTTTTAGTGTAACTTTGTATCATAAAGAGCAAGAACTGTATTGATTTTGAGCCCTCTAGCTCAAAAATGGACGAGTTTAAAAAATCAAAACTAAAAAGCGAAAAAACTTACTTTGAAAAATTCTTCTTTTTACATCTTTCTTAGAGGTATCTCGTCAAAGTAGAGCCCTTTGGGCCGAAATTTTGCGCGTTTGGCTCTATATCTAACCGTTTAGGCGCCAGAGGTCGTTTTTTACACGGAAATGACCCCAAAACATTGTAATGTTAATTCTCAGTTATTTCATGGTGTCCGGTGGAGTAACTAATCAAATAGGGTGTTTCAGGCTATCTAGAACGGAAGTGAAAAAGAACAAACTCACCGATTAATCTGCATCCGTCCGCTCAGTATGAGAAATTGCCATGGCAGTTTGGTCCGATTCTAACCTCTCAAATATGGAGGCGAGCTCGAAACTGACTTGACGGTTTTTCATACCTGAAACGCCGTCGTGACACGTGATCAGCTCAACCGATCAGAGCCATCACGGAAACAGAAAGGTCAGTGAGTTTGTTCTTTTCCTACTTCCGTTTTGGATAGCCTGGAATACCCTATTGAAACCTCGAGGAACAAAATTAGTGACTCTTCGAATGCCTATTTACGACTGTGCCCGACTCGGGTATCAGCGCCGCAGGCCTAGGTAGATGTATGCCAGGCGCGACGCAGCGTAACAGTGTTTCGTGAGATATCGCGAAGCCTGTTACGCGAGACGTGGTCTGGCGTACATCTACCTAGTCTTATTGGCTGAGCGATTAGCGAAGCCTATTACTCCACTGATGATCAAAAAGTTTCGCGTCTGTTTGTCTGTCTGTCTGTCTGTCTGTGTGTTTGTCTGTACGCACGATAACTCGAGAACGAATTGAGCTAGCGACCTGGGATTTTCAGGGTCGTTTTGTATCATAACAAGCAGGCCCGCCCTTCCGCCAAACGGAGTTGCCAGCTCCGCTTCGCTCCACCGGCAACTCCGTTCGGCAGGGGCCGGGCCTGCTTGGCCTG